GGGAAGTTGGTTTATTCTTTATATTTCTTAATGGAAAAGTAAATTTGAATGCATAATTATGTACAGAAGGTCAGAATTTTAATAGTCTCTGCCTTTCCTGGATTTTAAAAGCAGCACATACTCACTGCCAAAATTTGAAAAGAACAGAAAAGCATAAAAAGAAAAAAGTCTGTAATCTTACCAGTTTATCATTTTGGTATGTCTTCTGTGTATGCACACAAATTATATGCTTGTTTAAAAATTGGGATCATACAGTATGAAATTTTGTATTTGAACTTTTTTACTTTTTATTGTGAGAATTTTCCATGAGATTAAATAGCCTCAAAATATAGGAACATAGTGTTAATGTGGATATACTGTGATTTAACTTTTTCCTTATTGTTGACCTTTATGTTTTCTGATTTTTTTTGCATGTATAATTATCACTGTGCATTGTTGAATATAAATATTTGTCTACACCTTTATTTCTTCAAGATATAAATTTAGTTGTGATATTATTAAGAATATTAATTATTTGAAGGTTCTTGGTACACGTATTGCCAAACTACTTTTCAGAAAGGTAATTTGCAGTCTCACCAGTGTAAGGCAATCCCTAATGATCCTGTCTCTTATTCGAAGTAAATTAAATGTCAGGTGCCATTGTTTTTGTTTATGGATTAGTTTATTTCTTCTGTTTCAACATTCTTTTTTGACTGTCTTTTAATGACTATCTTCTTTGCAATATCAGTAGGGAAAAAAGAAGGTGACAGGTAGTTAAAATGAGTTTTGACAGTGTTAATAAAAACTTTGGAAGAGAGGAGATTTAGATTAAGTTTTAAAATTTTCCATGACTTCCAATTTAAATTCTGTTTTCCTAGCAAGAGTGAGTAATTGTGGGTTGGCTTTATTTATTTTGGAGTAATTTCTACACACCAGCTTTTGTTTAAGTCATTATTTATTATGTGAGCACTTCATGCCAGGATTGTCACCATACTCATTTTTAAGTCTCACTTAGCCTTAGGCAGAAATGGTGACAAGCTGAGCATTTTCATCACTTTTAACGAGAAACAGGTTCTTTTTAGGAATTTGAGCTTATTAGCTGCGTTGCTGGTCCAAGTTTTGTGGCTTAGATGTTAACCCGTCTCTCTACAAATACTATTACTACTTTACATCAGTTAATGATTCACCTGGATTCTGAATACATTCAGATTTCTTGGTATATCGTAGGTTATAGCTTGTTTTACTTAAAGGGAATAAAGACTGCTGCAGCCAGCATGTCAAGGGAATCTTCTGTATTGGCAACCCAGCCAGTGCCTTGAGAGTCTGGAGCAGGCTTCTCAACCTGGCATTCCTTGTCACCTGAGTGGCCCCAAGTCCACTAAAATCGACTACTTGGAAGAAAACTTTTAGAACATACTTATAGTAGGTAGTTGTTTTCCTTTGGAAAATACTTTTTAAGAGATTCAGAGGTAAAGTTTGCCTATTAGAACATTTCTAATAGTAAGTAATTGACTTACTCTTTTAATTTATAGTTCCCATTTTGATTTGTCCAGTGGCTGCAGACTGATCCTGCATGATAACCATATGGTGATATTCAGCCAATCCAGTGAAAAACTCTGGGTTCTTCTGTAACCTTGGATCTGGTTTCTTTGTCTTTGATTTATAGCTTATATTGATAACTCCCACAAGGAGCAGTGCCATTCTAGAAATGTGGAATATTGTTTACTTTGGAGAAAGAGAACAGCAGTGACGACTGCATGGTAGGGTTGTGCTTGTTTTCTTTGACTTGGAGGGTATTGATATTCCTTGAGGATTTAGCTGACTGTCTTCAGCCTATACCATTTTTGTTAATTGTTATCTTTGCTATTTTAGGAGTAAGATTACCAAAACCAAACCAAACGCATTGCCATGGAGTTGATTCTGACTCATAGCAACCCTATAGGACAGAGTAGAACTGCTCCATAGGGTTTCCAAGGAGCGGCTAGTGGATTGAAACTGCCCACCTTTTGGTTAGCAGGTGAGTTCTTAACCACTCTGCCACCAGGGCTCCATAGCAGTACGATTAGGGTGGTAATATTAGAGAGGTAATACTCATCAAAAGAGTTCGGTGCTAACCAAAAGGTCAGCAGTCAGAGTCCAGTAGCCACTCCTTGGAAACCCTACAGGGCAGTTCTTCTCTGTCCTCTAGGGTCTCTATGAATCAGAATCAATTCGTTGGCAACGGGTTTGGTTTTTTTTTTTTTTTTTAAATATTCATTGAAGAGAGTGTCAGCTGGCTTTTCTATAGATATACAGTTTAGCCTGATATTTCCCATGAGTAAGAAATATTTCATTTCTTAGTATTTGTAAAAGATACCAGATAATTTATATGTGTAAGAAGCTTAACTGCAGTTTTAACACAACTTTGCAAAAACTCAACTTTTAGTTGTCAGTATTAGTGGGAGAGTATTGGCATAGATTTTAAAATATTCATTTAGTTTTTTTGGAAAGTTTTTGTAAATTTGTATATTGGTGGTCTGATTTTGTAGGAAAATTTGTAATATTCCAGACAAAATCTAGAAAGGCTGTCGAAGTAGCCTAATTTGCCTGCCCTTTTTGTTTAGTTCCTCTACTTCCTTATGCCATGGATTGGTCCACAGTGGCAGCCAGGCAGAGCCATTGTTCTTCAACATGCTGTTTTGTCCTCCTTGGGAGAGATGTGAGTGGGAGACATTTGTTTGATCTGCAGACCAGACTGTACTGGTGATGATGGCAATGAAAAGCTAAAAGTGGGTTTTGACAAGAGTAACAGGGTGCATTCCAAATTGACAGTAGGTTTAAGAGAGGCTGGTTCTACAACTGTTTTCAGCAGCTTGCAAAATGTGTGTAGGGCCACCCACACTTCCTTCCTCTTTTCCAGCCACACCCGCATGCTTCAGTTGCTTCTGCTCTCTTGAGCTAGGAGAAGATCAGTATATTCTTGCAACATATACCAATACTTGTTTCTCAAACATGAATTTCGATACTGTGAACACTCTTGACTAGCTGGCCTGTTTCATTTAGGCCCAGCCTAGATATATGCATGCGTTAGCATTTACTAAATAAGAAGGCTGCTTTAGAATGACCTATTTTAGTGGTTTTGCTGTTTAAAAAGATGTCATTTTAGCAATGAAGTCATTAAAAATACTGATGTAGAATAACTTTTTAGTGCATGAAGAATGTTCATCATATAAAGCAGAGGAAAAAGTAGTTATCAAACTTATGTATAATATCATAGCTTTGTAAAGAAAGTAGATATAAAGGATACATATTCAAACCTGAATAGAAGTCATTCTGGATGAGATTACACATGATCTTTATTTTCTCTGTTAAGCTTTTCTGCATTTTCCAAATTTTCTAAAGCAAACATGTATTAACTTGCTTTTGGAGATAAATATTTAGAAAATAGTTATAAAACTATATGTGTATTTTCCCATTTTATAAAAAAATTGTGTCTAGGCATATGTTATGCATAGAAAATACTTTGGCAGGCTGTGTACCAAAATGCTAACAGAGGTTATCATAGAGGGTGGGATAACGGATGTTTTTAAAAAGTCTCCTCTCTTCTTGTCATCTGTACATTCTAATTGTATTTTTTCCTACACTAAACAGATAACGCTTTCATAATTGAAACAAAAAATACTAAAATGAAGGAAAGTGTTATGTCAAGTGAAAATAGCCTGATGTAGAACATACAGTTATGTATAGAATGATTATTCCTTTGTAAAGCAAAGTAAAGAAGAAGCTGTATATAAATATTTGTAGGGAGGCCACTGAAATGTTTAGTAGGGCTGATCTTCAGTGGGAGGACTATGGATGCCCCTTTTTTCTTTCTACTTCCTATTCTGTGTTTTCCAAATTTTCTATAAGAGCATATCACTTTGATGGGGGAAAAAAAAATGTAAAGGAACATTTAGCCCTCTTTGAAAGGGTACATCTGACAGAAAGTCATCTTAATATCATTTTAAAAGCAAATACTTAGATTTTGTGGGGTATTTTGTTGAAAAATCATCAGACATCTGATGCCCAGCTAGAGACATTATTTCTTTTTTCTTACAATCTTAACAGCACTCATTTTCAATTTGATACATTTTAGGAAACTGAACAACAGCATTTCCCTGAAAGCAAAAGAGATAATAGCTAAGTAAATTCATTCTCTTGAAGTAGGATAGAAAACTAAAAGAATATCTGCTGGATGGGAGAGGGGGTAAACACCATCATTATAACAGTGATGGTGGTGGCGGCGGCTAGTATTTACTGAATGCTTACTCTGTGCCAGACCCTATTCTAAAAATTTTACCTGTGTGAACTCATTCAATCCTCATTTCTAACATTTTCTAATGAGAAAACCTTCCATACAGAGAGGTCAGGTAGCTTCCTGAAGTGCTGTGGCTACTGAGTGACTGGTGGAGCTGGGATTCGTATCCAGCCGTTGCCCTGCAGAGCCAGTACTCAACCACTGGACTACCACACTGCCTTGCTGCAGAGACAGTGGTTGGAAGGAGGGCTGCTGGAAAGAGAAGCAGACAGGGGTAATGGAGCTACCACATCCCACTTGGAGGTGACGGGCCAGCTAGGCATCCTACTGTTGTGTGACTAGACGTAGGCCTGTGCCCATGGCTTTGCTGGCGCCGTTTGCGCTGCAGAGCTGTCTCCATCTCTCCTCATCCCTTCCTTCCCTGCAGTAGATTTGTTTTCACATCCAGAGATCACCTTTCCTTCTTCTTTCACCTTTCCTGTCTAGTTTCCCCCACGTTTGTACTCCTTTTCCCCCAAGCTCACCTGAGTTTGGGCTTAATAATTACCCTGGTACAACTCATCTTTAATGTGTAATGTAAATTGCCACAAGGTTAAGCACTCAGCTGCTAACCAAAAGGTTGGCAGTTTGAAACCGCCCCACGGTCCTGTGGGAGAAAGACCTGGCAATGTGTTACTGTAAAGATTACAGCCAAGAAAACCTGAGGCAGCTCTACTCTGTCACATGGGCTCACTATCAGTTGAGAATGACTCAATGGCACCTAACAACAACAACAGATATGAATGTTCGGGAGTCCCTGGGTGGCACAGATATTTAAGTGCTGGACTGGTTACGTAAAGGTCAGCAGTTTAGACCCACACAGAGGTGCCTTGGCAGTAAGGCCTGGCAGTCTGCTTCCGAAAGGTAACAGCCTTGAAAACATTATGGAGCAGTTCTACTCTGCACATCGACTTGATGGCAACTGAACCACAACAGCAGCAATACGAATGTTTAGGCCTTTCGGTTATTTGTGTGCTATTTCAGTGTCTCAGAAAGGCCTGTAGCACTACCTCAGTCAGTTCTCTCTCACTGTGCCGTGGTCTGCTCACATTCTCCTTGTTCATAGTTATAGTTTCTTTTTTACTATCAGAAACGCGAAGGTGTTTTGTGTGTTCCCTGATGTTGGCATCATAGTTGATTTCTGTCAGCCTGTAGACGACAGCATGTTGCAGACATTGCCCTCCTTGGCTGTCATAGTGTGTGTTTCATGAGCGATAGAGGTTCCTGGAGATGGGGTGGGCTTCGGAGCCAGGCTGAGCTGCTGCTCATCGCGCAAGTCTAGCTTCATTGTACCGACCTTGCAGGCTTATGGTGAGGAGTCAGTGAAGTGTTGGTTCAGTGCCTGTTACCCAGGAGGCGTTTAGAAAACAGTGAGCGCGCTGTTGATTATTATTTTCTCCTCCTTCCACCCTAAGTCATTGGAACAGACTTTCAGAGCTGTCTACCTGCAAAAATCTCTGTAACTGTTCACTCTGAAATTCTTATTTCCTAAAGATTCCTTAAAGGGGTTGTAATTCACAGAGGAAGCAGCATATTAGGGGTGACTGGGCAACTAAAAAGGAACCCTGGTGGCGCAGTGGTTAAAGCAATCAACTACTAACGGAAAGGTAGGTGGTTTGAAACCACCAGCAGCTCCGCGGGAACCCTATGGGGTCGCTATGAGTTGGAATCAACTCAGTAGCAGTGGCTTTTTGGTTTTGGGGGCTACTAAAAACAGATTTTTGCCATTTTTATCCTTTTATCTAAATCCAGCTTTAGGCTATATGATTTTAAGCAGAGTTAAAACAAATAGAACTAAACTAACTAAAACCTTTTTCTTTACTTTCTTTCAGGAGAAAGGCCCAACTGACGAAACATAGTGATACCAAGGATTATTCAGTATGCAGTTTGCAGGGTATGTCTTCAAGTTGGTATGAATTCACCCTTACATTCCAAAAGCCACATCTTAATGTTTGCCATTGATGTTCAGAATGACTTTTGGGTACTGTGAGATCCTCAGATATCAAAAATGATTTAATTATTTCCTAGCTTAACTCAAAATGCACTTGAAAGTAGGACTAGACAGTGGGCTAGTCTTTAAAAAGATGTTCAATAACAAGGATTTTTTTTTTCCTCCCAACTTTCTGTTAATCATAATGTCGTGTTCTTAGGTATACAATTTAATTACAGTTCCACAGACTCTAGGGATACTGTACAAAAAGCAAATTCTTTGATGGTACAAGTGATTAATCATTTTACTGTATGATACTTTGTGATTATGAAGAGACCCTATTCTTTCCTGTGAGCTCACTAGTAGATGAAAAATGATCTCATTGTGCCCCTTTGCTGGCACAGGTCTGGGAAGAGACATGGTGTTAATAGTGATTATCTCTGGATATCTGAGACCCTGAGAAAAAGATTTTCTCATTTATTACTTTTGTAATTAAATAGTTTTAATTAAAAACCGAAACCCTGGTTTATAAAAATCTAATTTATATGCCATTTACCAGGAACACATCTAAACTAAAATGATACATGAAAAGAACAAAGATTATATGACTTAAAGGTGATCTGAAGTCTCTTTCAAAAGCTAATGTTGCCTGTGCAAACTTGTGCAATAGAAACATAGACTTAGGAAGAATTTTAAGAATAGTTATTGCCCTGATAATTAATTGAAGCTAAAGATTTAAAGATAGTTTTCTGCCCAGTGCAGTTAGCCTGTACTTTTTATTTTTGAAAATCAAATATACCTGAATTAAAGTTTCTTCTGAGTAACTGCTGACCAAAGAAAGCAGAGTCTTCCTTTCCATTTGGATTTTCCTGTTAATCCTATCATTGAAATTATTAACTCAGAAGCAGGACTAATACAACACAGTGTAGAAGAAATCTGCTTTTTCTCCATCACCTGTAAATTGTACTGGTTTCTTATTTTAAAATCATAATAGAAGAAGTATTAGTAATTTTGTTTTGCTTCTGAAATCAGTTTGCAGAAAGAGTGTAGCATAGTGGTTAAAATCATAGACTTTGGTTCTGACAGCCCTGGGTTTGAATCCCAGCTCTGTCACAGGCTGGCCCTGTGGGCTAGGCCAAGTTACTTAACATTTCAGTGTCTCAAAATGGGGCTAATAAGCCCTCTCTCTGAGGGCATTTGTAAAGATTAAATGAGGACGATGTAAAGCGTTTTTGGTGCATGACTGGCATGTCATACTCAGTGAATGGTAGTTGCTATTTATTATTATAATAGTTACTAAAATGTAAATTAGAAATTTATTAACATTGGCTTTTTAAGTTCATGATATATATATTTTTTAAGGTAGGTATATGATTCAGATCATTTCTATTTGCGTGCGAGAATGACTTTATGCTTGCTTGATAGTTGGTTTTTAACTCTTAAAGATATCCTAAATGTAACATCCTTTAGCATAGTCAGAATGTTTATAGTGGGTATAGGCTTTGACATAAAAATTAGGTTTTAATCCTAGCTTCAGCATTTAATATGTTACATATACCTAAAACAGAGCCTGTTTCCTTGACTCTAATAATGGGACTAGTACCAACCTCTTAGGATTGTGAAGACCCAATGAAACAATCCAGTTTGGTGCATTTTGCACAAATAATAGACATATAGTAGATTTTCAGTAAAATGTTAGATTTTCTTCTGTTTTAAATAAAATGAGATTTAAAGGAATTTAATGATAGTGCTTAAAAAAAACTACCTATTTGTATATACAATTTAACTTTTTAAAATATTGCCAACTAAGTGGAGTAAATAAGTCCTGGTCTTAATATGTAACTGAAAGTGTGAAACTATACTGGGAACATTACAGAAGGTTTCACCAAAGGCATGGATATGCACTAATAGGAAATAGAGCTAGTTTTGGGAAGTCCTTGTATTCCTTGTTGAATTTTGTTACTTATTTTTATTAATTTTTGGTCAGACAAAATAATGGTATGAGTTCAGCCTGTGAGATTTAAAGAAGCATCTTAATTTGTATGCTTTTATATATTGATTTGTTTTTCTGAGTGCATCCAAAATTAAATGGTCTTTAAGAATGCATGCTTGTTTACTCTTAAAATATAAGCAGGTCATGGTGGGTTATGTTGGAAGATTGGAAAACCATAATAAAGATGGGCAGTACAAAGAGTGAGTTACCAGTCAGCAAATATTTATTAAGTACCCATTGTGTGAGATCTGTTGTTCTAGGCACTAGTAACACAAGAGCCTTGCAAACAAATTTTTAAAAATCTGAATTTGAAAATTTAACAAAACAGTTTGGAATACCTGCCATACGTAAAGCTATTGGTGGAGGATAGAAGAGCAAAATGGAACCTTAGAATAGAAGGTCCTCAAGAACCTTCCAGTCTCAGGATGGAGATGGTAGACCCAAATACCTATAGAATAAATACCTATAACATTGAGGTGTCCCAGAAAATGTTGGAAGGGTGAAGAAGGGAAGGTAAATTCCACCTGGGAGAGTTAGAGAAGACTTCACTGAAGGGATATATGTGCTCTTACAGGAAATAGTGCTAGCCTTGGAATAACAGGAAAAGGTTGTTGGGTTTCTGTCCGAATGTTTATTCTTTGTTTTCCCTTTCTTGTCAAATATTGCTTTGTTTATTAAGCCACTAATTGATACTACTTTTGGAAAATGTTTGCTTTTTAAACATAGCTTATCAAACTTGCCAGCTCTCTTATTTCTGACATCAGCAAAAAAGTGCTTTTGACGGAACTTAATTTTTATTTTGCAAAATTTTATTTGACATTTAAAATTCTCAACCTTTATAAAGAACTCTAAATATAGAAATAAGTTCTTGTAAATGACCCTGACTCATTTTATGTCTCAACTTATTTACTTCTAACCTTTTCTGAAAATGGAAAATAAAATGAAGCCATTTTAAAGTATGCTATAAAAGGAAAAGTTACAGAAACATAATTTTGTTTCTCCTCTTATTTTGTAGATGTCCATGGTGGCATTGAAAATGAATTCTTTATTTTCACCAGATACTCTTATATGAGAAGATCCATTTCAAAAAGTCTAAATATTTCTTCTTCTGTTGGACCAGCATGGCAGGATTCAAGAGAGGATATGACGGGAAGATTGCTGGATTATATGATCTGGATAAAACCTTGGGTCGAGGTCATTTTGCAGTGGTTAAACTTGCCAGGCATGTTTTTACAGGTGAAAAGGTGGCAGTAAAAGTTATTGACAAGACAAAACTGGACACGTTAGCCACTGGTCATCTTTTCCAAGAAGTGAGATGTATGAAACTCGTGCAGCATCCTAACATTGTACGCCTTTATGAAGTTATTGACACCCAGACCAAACTATATCTTATTCTGGAACTTGGGGATGGAGGCGACATGTTTGATTATATAATGAAACATGAAGAGGGTCTTAATGAAGACTTGGCCAAGAAATACTTTGCTCAGATAGTTCATGCTATATCTTATTGCCATAAACTCCATGTAGTTCACAGAGACTTAAAACCAGAGAATGTGGTCTTCTTTGAAAAACAAGGTCTTGTAAAGTTGACAGACTTTGGTTTCAGCAACAAATTTCAGCCAGGAAAGAAGCTGACTACAAGTTGTGGCTCTCTTGCATATTCTGCTCCAGAAATTCTGCTCGGTGATGAGTATGATGCACCTGCAGTAGGTAGGTAACCTTCTGTCTGTTATTTGCTCACTTAAGTTGTACCGGCTAGAGTTTAGTTGGTCACATTGGTTGTTTATTGAAAAATAATGTGTGAAATAATTTCCATTGTTAAGTGTCCTAATTAACAGAACTGGTTTCATGAATGCCATAATATCCCTAAAGCTGGCATTTAGTCTATTTCAATCTTTAGATGGCAAATGTCAAGTTTATTTGTCACCACAAAAGAAAATAAGTTATCCTTTAAGGTAACCTCTCATCTGCACATTATAATTTTTTTAAGGTCTGAGTACTTTTTTTGTCCCTTAGATTCTTCTGCTAGTGGTTGGCCCTAGCTATCTCCTTCCTGAGAATCCCTTTTAACAGTATTTTGGGACCCATATTGGAGAGGTATTATGAATATTATAGTGCAGTGTGAAGTTTGAGCATTGGAATCATTTATTAACTATGACATTGAAAAAGGTACCTGACCTCTCTTGGCTTTATTTCTTCATCAGTAAAATAGGATTAAATCAGATACAGGTATTGTATTTAAATTATCTTGTTTACTTTTCACAGTGACCTGTGTGATTGCTATTGTCAGTCTCATTGTACAAGATAGGAAACTGCCATTCTAGTGCCTGCAACATGGTAGATTCTGGAATAGTGGCAGCCATTGACATTCCCAACCTGCCCTTCCCCTCTACTCCCAACACATTTTTGTGCTCTCACTCACTCGTCATGAGTTATCTACTTGTGGTGGAGGTGTTTACTGCTTTTCAGCTGTGTCAGCTTTGTCCCCTTTGGGTCGTATCTGTCCTAAAAGTAGTGTAGGAATTTAATTTTAATTTTTAAGGCTTTGTTAATTTAAGGTGTGGTCAGATTTTACATTTTTAGTTTAATCTGGAAAAAATATGCCCTAATATTAAATGCACATGATGTCAAACTTCATAAATGAGGAGTCTTCCATTTGCATTCTGATCATTTGAAATGCAGGATACGGAAGATTGCTGACATTATACTGAATACGGTGTACACCAAGGCACTGCTTTTCATGTTAGATTAGTGTGTTCTGGAAACGAAAAGATTAATGAATGGTTTCTGCCCACTACAGATAACCAGGCTTCACTGAAGTCTTTCATTAGAATATTTGAGCAAGAGAATTTTGATTAGTAGAGCAGCTCTAATCAGAAAAGCCAGGAATTTACAGAAGAGGAAACAGAAATGTTTGCACATGAAAAGATGTGCAACCTCGTTGGTAATCAGGGAAAAGAAAATTAAAACCACAATAAAATACTGTTTCATACTGTTCACATTGGCTAAAATTAAAGTCAGACAAAATCAAATGTTGACAAGACGACAGAACATCAGGAACTCATACTATTTAGAGAACAGTTTGGCAATATGTAGTAAAGATGTACACATCCCATGACTAAGCAATTCTACTATGTATGCACCCTAGAGAAGTTTTTATTCATGTACAAAAGAGATTTTCAAAGGTGCTTTTAACAGCCTTGTTAAATATTCATTAACGGGAATTGTTCAATATTCATATTACAGAATTCTGTATGTCACTGACAGTGAATGAACTTCAACTATGTATGTCAGCATGGCTGAATTTCACAGATCTACTGTTTAAGGAAAAAAAGCAAGTTGGTGAAGTGTGCATATGTTATGCCATTTATATAAAAGTTTAAATCATACAAAGCAATAGTGTATAATGTTTAGGGATGAGCTGAAGAATGCATAAGATCAAGATGGGTTACCTCGGGGCAGCCGTTTCTAGAGTTTCAAAGTATCGGTGATGATTATTTCTTAAGTTGGGTGGTGGGTACACATGTTTTGTAATGTTCTTTTACTTTTTTGTGTATCTTTAACATTGCATAATAAAACTTAAAAAGTTCCAAAAAAAGAAAAGAAAATTGTCTGAAAGGATGCACACTGATCTGATGAACGATTACCTTGCATTGGTGAAATAGGATTGGGTGGAGTCCCTGGGTGACTTTTTCATTGTCTTTATTTATTCTAATTTATTTTGTGTAATTGAAATAAATACAGAATTTTTTCTTTTTTAAACAAGTGGGCAGATATCTTTCTGTTAATATGCTGTTAGTATAGAGGATCAAAATAAGTCAGTGGTTTTCACAAATACTTAGCAAAATAAGCATGGACAGGATTGAAATCTGTCATTTTATTAAATTGTCAGATTTACTTCCCTTTTAGTTATAGATCGTTGATTTGCTTCTGTTTCTTTGTTTACTATGCATACTTACGTAGACTTAATTTTACAAATTTCTTGGTTTACCACTGATTCTTGACCTCCCTGTCCTTCACTGGGATTATTTTTGTTTTGTTTTGGTTGTAATCCTTTCAGAAAGAATTTGTAAAAAAAAATCCGCAAGTTCTTGTCTGTCTAAACAATATCCTCAGATTTGAATCATCATTTGGGTATAGAAATATATATTCAAAATAATTTTCCTCCCAACTTTTAAGATAGTTTTCTGTCATCTTCTTGCTTCCAAAGCTGCTAGTGAAGCATCTGTAGGACTACATTTCATTGATTCTGACAAACATGTTTTCTGACATTTTAACACTTCCAAAAGCGCTCTGTTTTCTAGGGTATTAGTTCCTCTTGCTCATGGTGTTCATTTTTCTTAGGTGCTTAGGGCTTGTTAGTTGTGAGTTTATCTGTTTTTGAGGTTTGTTGATAGCCTGTCTATGAATACACTGCCTGCCTCCAGGGGATGTGGGAGAGGAGCAGGGTGTGCAGCCAGGTGGGACGTCCTGGTATCTGATGTTGTTCCACAGAGTGTCAGTAGACACCTTGGACACCATCCTTCTCTCTGTCCCTAATGCCCACAGTCACTCCTTCTGCCTAGAACAGGTATCTGCTTGGGCGTGAATGGAGCTAGTTTAGGGTTCTGGGGTGGAGGAAATGGCCCCCAGTTAATCTAATGGTCGCCTTGGTGCAGTTCCTTCCCGTTTCCAGTTTGTCTTCTAGAAGGGAGCACCACAGAAGTGCCTCTTAATTGGGCTCTGGTTTCCTCTTTCAGTTTGATCCCACCTTTTCTGTCTTATCTAGTGATTCGAGAGAGAAGGGCGGCTTTGTCAACATGTGTTAAGTTGACTTTACTAAGTTAGAAAAGAAAGAAAGAAAAATGTTGTGTATGAAAAATCCTGGAATCTCTCATCACAGTCCTTGGAATTTCTGTGGTAGAGATCACAGTGCAGCAGCATAGGAGATAGAGAGCTCATAGCTGCTTGTTAGATCGTTTCACCCAATGGAAGAACTCACTAGAATGAGCAGGCAGGGGAATGAGCCTGTACCTGTTGGTTCTTGGCACGCTTCCTGCCTTTGCTCTGGAGAAAACAGGCTCTGCTGAAACTCAGGGTGGCCTTGCTGCCTGCCTGGTGGGGTGGCCTGTTTGTAGTGAGGTACCAAGTGAATTTCTGGGTAAATACTTTTTTTCCCCCCAAAGCAGCATTGGGAAAGGGTTAAATCAAACCAGTTACCATTGAGCTAACTCATGGCATCCCATGTGTGTCGGATTAGAACTGTGTTCCATAGTGTGAATTAAATTTGGTATTGAGAACTTTGTCATCTCACCTGAGATTTGGAGACTTTCTAGGATGTTACAGATCTGGAACTGAAAAACCCCTGTATTAGATGCTTCCTAGTTCATAGACAGACTTCAGAAATGAAATATTCTGTCTGTACATTAATTTATTATTACCAGCTATTCACTAGAAAGCCTAATTACTTAAAACATGACTCCATATTAACAGAATGCAGAAGTTTTGATTTAGAGTCAATATGTGTAGCTTCTTGGGATATAAACAGAAAACCTATATACACTCTCTACAGTAATATTTCTCAAGTTCTTGGTTTAGCATTTAATGGGAATTATCTGCTGTTATAAGCAGTGTTTTCATGAATATTATTATGCAAAAACTAGAGTTTTTATTCTTCATAAATCTCTTTTGCCATGCATTAGAATATTATTCTTGTACCTGCTTTGAGTAAGCTAGGAATAGAGGGGAACTTCCTTGACTTGATAAAGAGCATCTACAAAAACCCTACCGCTAATATCATACTTAATGGTGAAAGACTGAATGCTTTTCCCTAAGATTGGCAATAAGTCAAGGATGTACACTCTTACTTTTCTTATTCAACATGGTACTGAAAGGCATATAGATTGGAAAGGAAGAAATAAAACTGTATTTGCAGATGACATGATTGTAGAAAATCTTAATCTACAGAAAATCTAGAACTAATAAGTGAATTCAGCAAGGTGGCAGGATCCAAAATCAACACACAAAAATCAGTTGCATTTCTGTACACTGACAATGAACTTGTGGAAACCAAAATTAAAAACAATACCATTTACAGTTATGCCAGAGAAAATGAATTACCTAGGTATGCATATGACAAAATACATACAGGATCTATATGCTAAAAATTACAAAATACTAATGGGTCATATGGTAATTCTATGTTTAGCTTTTTGAGGAACCATCAAACTGTTTTCCAAAGTGACTGCACCACTCTACATTCCCAGTAGCAGTGGATGAGGGTTCCAACCTTGTCAACACTTGTTATTTTCTGTTTTTTTGATAATAGCCATCCTAGTGGGTGTCAAGTGGTATCTCATTGTGATTTTGATTTATATTTCCCTAATGACTAATGATGTTGAGCATATTTTCATGTGCTTATTGGTCTTTGTATATCTTGGTAAAATGTCTATTCAAGTCCTTTGCCTATTTTTTGATTGTATTGTCTTTTTGTTGCTGAGTTGTAGGATATATATATACATATATATGTATGTATACATAAATATACATATATATGTATACATATATATGTATGTATATATTTATATTCATTTTAATGTTAAGTCCTTACCACATATATTAAATCCAAATATTCTTCCCCATTCTGTAGGTTTTCTTTTTACTTTTTTTGATAATATCCTTTGATGCACAAAAGTTTTTAATTTTGATAAAGTCTGGGTTATCTATTTCTT